TGATGACTAAAGAAAAACCATGCTGCCCTTGATAATCCTGAAAGAAGGCCTCCCTCCGGGGACTAGTGATGACTAAAGAAAAACCATGCTGCCCTTGATAATCCTGAAAGAAGGCCTCCCTCCGGGGACTAGTGGCTGCGTAGGTGACTACTTTGTCCTGAGGATGCTGAGTGGTCCCCAGGAGTCCACTGGAACAGATTTCTGTGATGCTAAATTTAAGCCAACTTCACTCACCTGCTTCATGCCAATCTGGTGCCTTGCAGCTGTTGGCTGGGAGAGGGCCAAAACAGAATGCTCGTTTAATGAAATGACTCGGGCCTTGAGCTGAGAGAATAGAGCAAGTAAACAGGTCAACTTCTCCAGTTGCTCCCAAGAAGGACGCATGATGGCACGGCATCACTTATGGGTAGAGTTCATGTCGTCAAGTCTGCTGACAATGCATGGTCAACTGGACCAGTGGCTGGCACAGAGAAAACACTCAATAAATACATTTTGAAATACGTGACTTTGAAATTACTTTGACAACCTCATTTGAAATATTAAGCATTAATCATATTCTTATTTCAAATGTATATGCCTACAGATACCTCTTGTTAACGTATTCTTCCTCTGAAATGGAAGAGCACAACCTAGAAAGCTTTTACTTTAAAATCATGAAACCTGTTTTCAAATCCCCTGAATGGAATGGAAGCATTCCTCACCTCCACTAACCACCTGTCTTGTATTCGCTTTGTGACCCTGTGTAGGTCACTTACCCTTCTGACCCTCAGTTTCCTTATCTGTAAAGTGGCAACAATAATCTTTGCCCATCTACCTCACTGGGCTGTTGTAGGACTAAAAAATCGTTCATTGCGATAATGTTAAATACATGTCAATTGTACTGGGTATGCGTGTTGGAGCTTTTTATCATTAATCTTGTTCACTGAATAAAATGGACATGAATTTGTAAAAAAAAAGTCTCGTTCACTGTTCATACCAGCAGTTTCATCAATTGTTCAACTCTTTGACCTTTACTTCTCGTCTCTGTATGTACCTAAAATAAGTCAGAAAAACCATAGTCCAAGGATAGAGCATGGGATTTCTAAATCAACAGAGCTGGGTTCAAATCCAAGGTCCATCACTGATTGGCTACTTCCCTCAGGAAGTCTTAGGAGTCTTAGACTCCTCGTCTGTAAAATGGAGATTGTAATATCTATCTTACAGAGTTGTGATAAGAATCAAATTAAGTTCTGTGTAAGCCATCCCACTAAAGACAGGTTCACAGCAGAACCAGAATTCAAAACAAGACCCTTGCTGCCCAAACCAGTGATGTGAACTTGAGCAGGGTAACTACTCCAGAACTAATAACATTTCAGGGGCCACATTGCCATTTCCTAAGCAAGTTAGCTAATGCGGCTCTTACGCGGTAGAGCCTTGGTTTTGACCTGGTATTGGATGCATATGTTATGACATGCTATCTCTGACATGCTTGGTTTGTGACAAAGCACTAGAATAGATAAAAAGACGGAGCAAGCACAATGGGTGCTGCCACTGAAAATCTTACAATCTACTTGGGAAAGTAAGTACATAGAGACATATCACCAGGGAATAATCCCAAAGAGCTCTGAACAATAGAATGTTAAGGTCTAGAATATCCTCTGAGATCAACTTACCGGGTAGAAAAATTGAGATGAACACCTTGCTTTGGTGACTGGGTCCATACTACAGCCAACATAAGCACGCACGATGAATTGAAAATAAGAATAATAAACATCATAATAAATAGTAACTACAGTGGCAATAGTTAATATCTATGGCATGCCTGCCAAGTGCTAGGCATTGTTTTTAATCATTTTATCAGTCATATTTTCTTTAATCCTCTCAGCAATCTTCATGGGTTCTACTTTAAATACACAAAAATTGAATCTCAGAACATTATTCTGAGTGAAAGAACCTTATATCAAAGAAAACATACAGTATGATTCAATTTATATGAAGCTCTAGAATAGGAAAAACTAATCTTCTGGTGGGGCATGGGGGTGAGAACAGGGATTGACAGGTCTGAGAGAACTTTTTGGGGTCCCAGTAATGTTCTATATCTCATAAGGGGTTTGCATTACATAGTCATATACATTTATCAAAATCATTAATTGTAGACCTGAGATTTGTACATTTTATTGCATTTTTTAAAATGTAAACAGTATTGAACTTTAGTCAATAATAAAAATGCTGAAGTATTCAGGGGAAAGCGTTCTGATGTCTGCAACTTACCTTTAATTTTATAAAAAAAATATAAGATATACTGATTGGTGAATAGACTGATGACTAGATCAATGGATAAATATGTAATAATGCAAGTAAGTAATATGACTGTCGTAGAATCGTAGTGATTGGTGTATGAGTGCTTTCAACATTTCTGTCCATGTGACCATGTTCATAATAAAATTTAGAGGAAAGAATGTAAATCCACAGATGCAAAGATAAATTCTCATCTTAGTTCTCACAAGGAAACAGAGAGGTTTAAATTGGGTCACAAATGGCTGAAAGGTGTGACTTCATACACCTGGATTGGCAAGGGGATGCAGCAGGAACATTTGCCCTGAGAAAACCAGACCCCTCTCCAACAGAGGAGCAAAGTCTCACCCTTGCTGCGTCACTCCTGAGCTGTGAACCTGCAGCATTAGGGAGTGAAAGTCAAGTGCATGTGATAATGGGCCTGCATGCCCAAGGAGAGGCTGATGTCACCAGAGGCTCATCTCTTGAATCATCGGAGTGACCTGTTTGCTGGGCCTGGAAGAGGGAGAGGTAGCCAAGGGCTCCCCAAGCCAGCAAATGAATAAGCTCAGCCTTGGCAAACAATGACTCCATTCTCCAATGTGATCATATTTAGTCCTCCAGTTAGCTTTTATTTGGTTAGTTATATCCAATAATCCCCTCAGGTCTGGTCTCTGGGTAGCTTTTGTTCACAATGATGTAACCGGCCCTGCTCTTTTCTTAGAACAAGAGCTGCTGGTTC